ATTCTAAGGGATTGACTGAGGAAGGTGTGTCCAAAAGAAGGAAGGACCATGCTGATAAAAGCCCTGTGAATACCACAAACTCTCTCTCTTACGCTCAGCTGATGATCAATGGAGTGGTAACTGTATCACGTGTCTATGCCTGTTTCACTGTTAATTTAGTTTGCTTTCCATTCAATCAATGACTAGTATTGGTAGCAACATTTACTAGCCTATATCAAATGAATATGTATTGTTTATTTGTTTGATTAGCCTCTATTAATAAATATTATTGAATTACCGAAAGAAAGGCGTGTTATCTCTGACTTTACAAGTTATTATTTTTAGTTATTAATTCCATACGCTTGCTTGACATAAGTCAAAGGGTGATTTTTAGTGCTTTTAATTGATGATTTATGCCCTATATAAGGCATAATAAGGTTAATGCTTTAGAGACAGCACTAGGGGCTGTATGTAGGATTAATTTACATTATATGGTTTTCTTTATGCCAAGTACATCTGGCAGTGACATCACAAGAGAGAAGTTACCTCCCAGAAAGCTTCCCACTGGGATTAAAAAGCAGAGTAATAGATTTTCACTATCTCTCTTGACTGTGCCCAGGAAGTAGACCATCAGCTGATGTATTAGCCCAAGCCAAGGTTATATGCTGTTCATTTGTTCATGTTTTGTATTATTTTGTACTCTGATTGATTGTCACTGCTCTCATTTGTTATAGCCTGTTACTTGCTAGAATTATTGTAGTAATTTCACATTTAATATTACAACATGTTGTGTATTTTTTATCCACATATTCGACCATAATGCTAGAAAAAGTACTATATGAACTGTAAAAAAATAATAATTTTGTAACTTATTGTTTAGTTCTTGTATATTAATTTAAAGATGAATATTCATATTTAAGCCACGGCCACTACAGTGTCAAACTCCATTTTAAGTGTAACCCCCTTTTAAGTGTTTTCATTCTCGAATACTATGGATTTTTATTATAATGCTTATTAAACTGCTGTAAATGCAGAGAAATAGACACAGAATTAAAACATGAAAGCCCATGCTTATTCTTACTATTATACAAGTTGTGATTTAATCACTAAACAATGGATTGCAATTTAATGAAAGCTAAATTCCAAAATTTTGGCACAAATAGCCAAGTTGTGAATATAGGTGAGTTATATAATTTTTCCAAGTAAACTATTTTATTTGTCAACTTGAGTGGCCCCTGATGAATATGTGCCATTTGGTTGATAATAAGAATCAGAGACTAACACATGGCCATGTAAACAAAGAGAATGTTTGGCCAGTAAAAAAAAGCTTACAATCAACCGATCAACGACATCCATATAGTAACAAAATTGATGTTATGTTTTGGCAGTCAGATTTGGCAGTCAGCAATACTCTATTCAGATCAATCCCATATCACTTGGCTATACATATCTTATCCAGCCAAGATTACATATATATTTGAAAGTAGTATTTGAACGTTAATCAAAACTTCATGGTGCCTTGTGCACTTTTATGGCTCCAAGTGGAGTCGTTTCAGTTTTAACTTACTGTTCCATTGTCAATTTATATTAGGAGGCAATACAAGATAGATGAAAGAGTCATAGTTCATGTGTTTGAAGCTTTCTGACAAAGAGAGGTGGTTAGAGGTTAGATAGGCATTGCTGTGTTTTTTATTTATACAAGAAACACAATTATGACAGTGTATTTCTCAGATAACTCACCATATATGTGATTCAAAGTCACATTCCCTTTGCAAACAGTTTTTAGTTACAACTTGTCCTGGATTTACCTAGGAACCTTAATACTAATGGTACTAAAAGCTATCTGAAATCAGCCCATGACCTGTTTTTCGCAACTATAAGCACGATCATTATTTTAACAACTTTTAAATAATTACTTTTTTTTTGTTTTACCTTAGAGTTCCTGTTGTATTCTGCTACCTCTTAAATCCTAGTCAGGGGAATCTCTGCATGAGATCAAATGAGTTTTTTCTTTGCCTGTAGGCTGTTCATCTGTCTGAAACTCTGACAGTCATATCTGCTAATTAAAAACAATATAAATGTGTATAAGGGACAGATACTACTCTTTTATAATTGGATTCAAGCAGCTTTTTATTTTTAATTCACAGTGTGTCATGTAAAAATGTTATTAATGAACCTTTTTTGACACAAGATTGATATATGTTTTGTGATTTCAAAACAAAAAAAATTAATTAATCTGTAGGTGAAGGTGAAGGTGGGTGAGATGTGAAAATCTATCTTAATGTCTCCCCCTCCCTTCTTCTTTTCTTTTACCAGGGAGGGGGGACATAATGCTGTGGTGGCCTGTTCACTTTAGCCTGCAGCTCTGCTGACTCTCCTGTCCTCTTCCGAGCACAGCACTGTATCGGAGCGTTGCCATAGTAATGCGCAGCAATGCTCCGATAGGCCTTCCCGCAGGTGAAACACAGAGCCTCCCAGGACCCGGGCCCTTCCCTCCCTCTGCTGGAACTAAGTGCCGGTGGGCCGGGGAGATTTTTGATTTCTTCACCAGCCCTAGAGGGCTTACAGCAAGGCTGGCTCTGCATGGGCCGGCAGGGGAGATGAAAGGATCTCACCTGCCGGCCTTGGTCCACAGCCATTGAGGCCCATTGTTTTCTGCAGAACCCAACACTGCCCACCTGAAATCCCAAACTGCCAACTAGTGGGTAGTAGAGACCAGATTGACTAGCCCTGATCTAGCTTGTTCCACTGGCAATACACTTCAAGGAATATGGTTCCTTAGCATCACTTAAACTTGCATGTATTCCAACCAAAACCTCAGCAAAGAGACAAGACACACGCTTCTTGCTGTCAACTTGTAAGATCACTCTTTATTTCTGAGGTCCCTACTTTCTTAAAAAAATGACAGCAAAAATAAGTAAATACTTTAATAATAAGTATTATTAATAAGTAAATACTTTCATTTAGGTACAGTCACTCCTTGATGTAATAGGTCTGTGGTCTCTGGTTCTTGGCATATACACAGCTCTGGATAGAGCAGTGGTAACTGGTGACATTTCAAGTTGGTGGGGCACCAGGCGGCACACATGGATTTGACTCTGCTGCCAAACATTATTAATCACAAATAGGAATATGTCTATATGGCTCTATTATCGTTAATCTATGTGGATGATCCCATATATGGAAAATAAACCATATAGCCATTTTAAGTGAGTTAAATAAGTTGGCCATTTTGAGGCTACATTTAAATTACAAGTGTAACACAGAAGTTAGTGACAAGATGTCGTCAAAGGATTAGTTTTAAACATTATTTTGCAGTAAAATGCTAGATACAATTTCTCTAGCAAAAAAAGATAATTTGATATTTTGAGTTATTACAGATTCTCCTGAGGAGATTCATTGAGTGGCCACTGATGAATATGTGCCATATTTCTCTGTAAAGAAATAAGGATTCATATGATTATTTCGAAATAGACAATTTCCTTACTCTATAAATTTCGATCTGCCATATAGGGTCACTGTGATAAAAAAGTAAAAACACAAAAAAATACATAAAATATATTGAGTATAATTTGGGAATTTGCTCTGATCCAAATTTGGATCCAAAAAACTAAGGTTTAAAACAAATAAAATTATGTTGTCTACTGAGTAACTTCCTCTCTCTAATAGATATCAAACTGTTTCAAGATTGCTTTGTGATTATATGGACAATAAAGTTTTGTGAACATTTGGAATGCACGAAAAGGAACGCAAGCTGGAAGTGTAGCAGCCACATGGAGGAATACACGACGAAGATTGAGAGGATTACGATCAGCAGTGTGAAGGAGAGACAAGCTCCAGAGATTGGTTAATTAGAAGACAACACCCATGAACACACCAGACGGAATCAGGAAGAACCCTATTTAAGAAGGGGGTGGAAAGGTAGGACTTGATATTGTTAGACATATTTTTTATGTTTTTATGATTGTATAAAAGGTGGTCCCTGAGGAGGTTTCCATAGAAACCAAACGCGTAGGACTGGTGATATACCACCAATTGTAATATATCTATTTTATTCAATTTATTTGTGATAAATCATTTTTTACCTACCTACCTCATTCCTGATTTGGATCCAAAAGCATCATTCTGACTGAGAGACCAGACCTCCCCTGGGTGGAAGGCAACCTTAATGCACTCTTTTCATCTGGAGTCTGTGAGTTCCATATAAAGTGGGGGCACTGCAAACCTCCTCCAACTGTGTTGCACTATAATCTGAGCTGGTCATTTTCTCCTAGCTGACATAGACCCAGCTGCTTGGGAGGCAGAAGTGGGGGTTGACAGGGAGAGGAGCAAACCCCAAACTCGCAACAGCCCCAGGCAGCAGATGCCACCATCCTGCATACACAAGGTAGAAAACTGGAGTGTGGCTAGCATTTTGACTTGTATGTTGCTTTTGGGGTGTCTGTATCTATATGTATGTAGTGTTTGTATCTGTGTTTGTGTGTCTGTTTGTGTATCTGTGTGCGTGTCATGGTTTGTATGTGTGTGTGTATCTGTATGTGTGTCAGTGTGTGTACCTGTGTATCTGCATGTGTTTCACTGTGTGTGTCTGTATATCTGCATGTGTGAGTTTCTGTATGTCTGTGTGTATGTCAGTATGTGTGTCACTGTGTGTTTCTGTACATCTGTATGTGTGCCACTGTGTGTATCTGTATCTGTATTGTTGTGTGTGTCTGCATGTGTGCCTGTATTTGCAAAAATACTTCCTGCAGTTGCTCCATTAAAGTAGGGCCAATTCCTGAAGATATCAAATTGAAGAAAAATAAATATCCAGGCACACCTGAGGTTTCTTCTACAAGGCAGTCTTTTTTTTTTTTAAAACATGGAAGTGGGGGGGGGGGCGTGGCCGACAGCCAGCGGGTATGGTCGCATAATCGTTGTGCTCCTACCCGATCGTCGAAAAGCGGCAAATAACAGCGACTAAACTGCAGAAATAGACCACCAAACAACTCCCATCAAGCACTGATAAGCTGCTCCACCCGATGGCGGCAAAAAACAAACCAAAACTGGACAAGGCGGCATTTTTCGCACAAAAACCGTCCAAGCAAAAGAAACCGCCAGAAAGGGAACAAGATGGTGCCGATGAAGGAGCGGAGGCGCAGACATCGGACACAGAGAACAAAGCTCAGGCGGGGAGTGAGGGGCCAATAACTGAGTCCAGAATTAAATCTCTGCTGGAAACCTCCCTGATGCACCAATTTAAAGAGGTAATAGGCAACCTAAACAAAGATGTGACGAAGTTGGGCGAGCGCACATCGCATATAGAAAACAAAATGTCTGCACATGCAGAGGCCCATAATAGCATGGCGGATGCCATGCAGGAGTTGGAGCACAAACTACAAGCCCATGAAGATAAGCTAACTGATCTGGAAGATCGTTCCAGGAGGAATAATGTGCGAATACGGGGCATTTCGGAAGTTATAGACGGCAAACAATTGCTCCAATACATAACAACCTTCTTTGCCAAGCTTATACCGGAAGTGGACCCAGACCTTCTGGTCATAGACCGCATACACAGAGTCGGGAGGCCGAAACACATACCGATTTCATCACCACGTGACATGTTAATGAGGATCCATTATTTCCACGTCAAAGATCAAATTATGAAAGCCAGCCGCAAAAACCGACCCCCGACAGAATACAAAGCGCTGCAAATCTACGCAGACCTCTCTCCAGCCACACTACTTCAACGCCGGAACCTGGCACTCATCACAACCTCTCTACGGGCTCAAAACTTGCCTTACCGTTAGGGATTCCCCACCAAGATCCAGGTGCTAAAAAATGGGACTCGCCACATGATCAGGATGGTGGAGGAGGGACGCAAACTACTGAGAGACTGGGACATCCCTATCCAGGACCCAAAGCACCTACCTGCGCCCGGCCCTAGGCGGCTAAACCCAGAGTGGCAAAAAGCACCATGAACTGCACCGAAAGTACCAAGACTTTGTACATCCTATAACAGAGAGGGCATGATGTTCTCATATGGGTAATGTAAATGTAAACTGTTTGTTGTTTGAAATTGCTGGGTGCAGTGGTCCCCCAAGGGTTGTATGAGAAGCTAATTAGAAAATGCAGGGCCCTGGAGGGGGCATTTCCTGCCGGAGGGAGCCCTGGCACCTTAACCAGAAAGCCTGCGTATCACTTACCATAAGGTTTTAAGTAAATACAAATATAATAAAAAAAAAAAAATAAATAAATAAATAAAGCAACATACAAAGATGAATAGATGCCGTAGAAAGGGAACACATGCACCAAGATGGGAAGTAGTTGAGACTTAAACATAATTGCAGTTTAAGAGTATAGCCGACACCAGTGGGAAAATTGTTCGCACACTGGTAGAGGCTACCATTACCACGACCCCTGGTAGTTGTCTCGGCCCTCAGGAAGGCAACTCCAGACCCCTAGGGGTTAATTCTTGGGCCATTGAGTTTGTTGTTTTGTTGTATGTAAGTTATAAAATGTTATGCTGTTTTATGCCCCTACCCTACTCCACCCCCCAGAACTCTCGCAAATCTATATCATGGGTGCCCAGGATAAAGCTAGTAAAGTCATGCCAGGCCCTTGATAAATCCAACACCCAAGTCTACATTTATGAAAATAGTCACGTACAATGTTAAAGGGTTAAACACCCAACACAAGCATACTCTCCTGTACTAAGATCTGTCCAAATGGCATAGCGACATAGTGTGCCTACAAGAGACACACTTTAACAAACAACCGCAAAAATCCCTGTACCCCCAGTCATACAGTAGACAGTTTCACTCCACTGCTCACAAAAAGGCGAGAGGGGTCTCCATTTTGGTAAATGACAACGTAGTATTCACCCTATTGCGCAAAATTTCTGACCCTACGGGCAGATATTTGATCATAGTTTGTATTGTGAACGAAATAACATACACTATAACGAATGCCTACTTCCCAAATTCAAACCAAGCCCAGTTCTTAGAAATGCTGTGTAATAAGATAGATAAGATCAAACAGGGTACCCTGGTGTTGTGTGGGGATTTCAACTTTATAACTCTTGGACTCATCAGCCAAGCTTACAAACAAAAGATTGAGGGCGTTGCAGGGTTCCTGCAAGTCTTAAAGATCCCATCTTCATTTCCATAACCTGCTTGATTTGTGGCGCACTCTGCACGACCATGAGAGAGATTATACGTTCCACTCAGCGGTCCATAACACTTATACGAGACTCGACCGCTTCTACACATCACCCACAGACCTGATCCAAATAGAGAATTGTGTGATAGGACAGATAACATGGTCTGATCATGCACCAGTCTTTTTATACATTAAAGACGCCCACACACACACAGGGAAGGGGTTCTGGAGGCTCAACGAATCCCTACTCCATGATCTAGACTTTATCAAAAGCGTACGAGTAGAACTGAAAGAGTATTTCACCAGGAACAACAATGGGGAGACGTCCCTGGAAACTCTATGGCTGTCCCATAAGGCGGTGATTAGGGGCATTTTTATAAAGAGGACGACTTACCTAAAACGGAAACGGGAATCTCAAATGACAGAATGGCTCCAAAAACTAGAAATATTGACAAGACAAAATAAACGCGAAACATCCAGTGAATTGGCATCACAGATTAAGACACTAAAATCCCAGATTGACGAAGCCAGTTTGCTGAAAACAAACTATCATATACAGAAACTAAAAGCCAGGTTCTACCACCAGGGAAACAGGGCAGGCAAAGTGCTGGCCAATTTACTCAAACATAGACAAGCAAAACACTGTATCTCATCCATAAGAATAAACACCACAAAAATGGTACACAAGCCCCAGGACATTAGCGAAGCATTTGCAACATTTTAAAAAGCTCTCTATAACATAGAGACAGACCAACCCAAAATACGACCATCGGAGTATCAGATCCAGAACTTCCTAGACAGGGTGTCTCTCCCCAGATTGAATGCCAACCAAATAGCATCTTTAAATGCACATATATCGACCGACGAAATCCTTAAAATTATAGCGGGGTTGCCCCCACACAAAGCACCGGGACCAGACGGTCTAACATGCAAATATTTCAAGGTGTTTGGAGACTTCTTAGAACCATACATGACAAAGCTATTTAATTCCACTAACCAAGAAAAATTTATATAATAGAAGTGCATATTTTAGGCAATTGAATTGCAACTAACTGGAACTTTGTCACAGACAAATTGTTGAATGTCAAACTTAATTCTAATGTACAAAAGCATTATGTTCCCATACACCCCCTTCTCTTCTGTATCCCCTCATGGTTTTCATTATGTGTGAAAATAAAAATTGTCAAATTGAAAAAAACAAAAAAACATGAAAGTGGGGACAACTTTTTAAGCTCCTCTCTGATCCTTTATTAAGACTTGATAAAGAGAGGAGCTTAAAAAGTTGTCTTCACTTCCATGTTTCAAATAAAAAAGGCTGCCTTTTAGAAGAAATTTAAAAAACTAA